CCCCCCCCCCCCCCCCCCCCGGCGATAACATTAGTGGTCCCAAACATGTGAAATGTAGAAAGTATAGAATTGTTCGCTCAAATTACGCCACCTCGAATCTCGTTCGCTCACTCATTTTGTGTCTCTTTTACCCAATCGACCATCCCACTGAAGTTTTTATTGGGGCAATCACATGGGGGTTGATGTATTTGCAACTTGGAAGAAATATGCATGGCAGAAATCCAAATCAGAATCAAGTCGTATTCCTATCTGAAAATTGAAATAAAGCATCCTTCGGATTTGGCAAAATGGTTCAAGTTTTGAAAACAAATAGGAACAGTAGGATAGGTAGGTAGGTAGCAAAAAAGGCTAAAATAACAAAATCTGCAGGCCTTTGAATTGGACTTTTCTGGGTTCTTGTCGGCTCGAAAATGACTTCTCATCTGCTTCTTCAGTACTCCTACCCCTAACAATCAATATGTGGTCTTTCATGGCGGACTAGAAATGCAGTGCAACATGGGACATATTCTTCAGTTACTTCCATGATTAAACTTTAAAGGGTTGTCAAATTAAAACTTATAAGTGAAATTTCTAACATGAAATTCTATATACATAAGCATAAATAATTAATGAACGAAGGGTTTGTAATTGTAGTACCAGCAATGGTGCAAAGAAGCCACGATGGTTTGTTGAATAAGCTGCTTCGCCTTAAAACTGATGCAGCACCAGTTTTCATCATTTCTGCATCCAGTTTTGCAGTGCCCTACACAAATTCATAAACCAAAGCCCTGAGACCGAGTGATGATTAACAACACAAAATTAAATGTCAAGTAGGAAGATGAACAAGTTTGAATTGAATCAACTGTGAAAGAAAAAAGAAGAAGATGTTAAACGTCCACACAAATTGAAACGAGAGCGCTAGAGAGTGTTTTACCATGGAGATGGAAGAGCAGGCTCAGCTGAGGAGGAGAAGTGAATTGAGAAACTAAAAGGTGGTTTTCAGCATTTAATGCAGGTGTTGGAAAATAGAGAGACTTACGAGTAGCTAGCTCACTGTTACCCCCATCTTCAAAATACTCCTTATTTTTAAAAATGGCATATTAGCACAAAACG